CATCCTGGACAGGTGTCCAGTCCATCACAGGAACACATCGAGACAAACAACCATTCACTCTCTCACTCACACTTAGGGACATTTTAGTTGCCAATCAGCCTAACATGCATGTTTTTGGTCTGTGGGAGGAAACCGGAGTATACCAGAGAAAACTCCCCACAGAAAGACCAAAGATATCAGGTCTAACGACTGTCTGGCCATGCTTCCCAATTGAAATTTATATTTTTAATGTTCCTTTGATTCTAATTCCACATTATTTTATATTTATGCTATTACCCTTCTGGAGAGCAGATGATGAATATGTGTTGGGTGAGGGGACAGCAACATGCAGCACACAGCTCCAGCTTTCAGCTTTAATCATGGAGAAAGCATTCAACCCTTCACTAAATTCAAGCCTGAAACGCTCAGAGCCACAGGTACCAAAGCTCTTTTGCAGCGATTCAGCGAATACCTGGAGTGAACCTAGAAGAGAAATATGTAGCTTTTCACTGCAGCCCAGTTGACCCTGGGATTGAAAAACCTGATATGTTTTGCTTTCTAAAAGTCACACACAGAAATGAAATAAGACAAATTACCAATCAAAAGGAACTGCTAGTCATAAAATGTGACTCATGTTGACATATTGAGTCAAAATAAGGAATTTTCCAATACAAAGATTTTATTTTCAAATTCTCTCAAAAAGCTTCAAACCCGTATTTAGTTTGTTAAGATTTGTCAGTTTATCACCTAGCAACAAGATAACTTTGTTTAAGAGAATGCTGGTTGGAAAACTCAATTTTATTAAAAAAAAAAAAAAAATGGGGGGGGGGGGGGTATGATGTCATTCAGAATTGGACCTGTATATTTATAAAAGAAGCCTGCCTATGCTTCACAAAGATGCCCAACATTATACAAAGGGATTTCCCAACCCAATGGCAGCCGGAAGAGAAAAATTATCAATTTCTAAGAAAAAAAAAAGAATTTCTGAAGACAAAACTATCGGAATTCATTTTACATAAAATTGTAGATTAGCTATATTAGAGCTGGGATTGCTAGATGGTGTCTTTATTGACTCATCTTTAAGCAAATCAATAATACAGAAAAAAATCTATATTTTCTTTTACCATTTTGGAACTTTCTCAGACTAACTTTGCCAACACAGTTCACAAACATTCAGAAACTAGTCCATACAGAGACTAAAAACTAAAACTACTGAAAGAGCTGCAATTAAGCTCTTTACACTAATACTTGCCATCCCCCTGCATTGTGATTATTTAATATTATTTTCTAAAGCATTTGTCACATCTTGGTGCAGGACTATCTGTTTTTTGTTTTGAGAGGAAATATTTAGATCCTCTTCTAAATAAGCCCCTGGCACACTGTTGGGAGATAAAGGCCACAGGGAACCAGAAGAAGGTGGGTCCAAAGATGAAAAGGGACCAGGGGAGCAGGTAGTGAAAAACAGCAGGTTTCTCCATCGTTCAGGGCAAAACTTTAATGACTTCCAGAACTGCACTCTTACAGCCTTAAGAGTCTAGAGTGCAGCTATAATTTGTATTCTTGCCTCCATGAATCTGAGGTCAATTCCCCCAAAACACACACACCAGTCATATTTTTATCCTTATTAGGACCAAGAATTGACTTCCATTCATTTATCTAGCTTTACCTTGACTCATACCTTCAATTTAACCATTACTAGTACCTACCTAACCTAAACTCAGTGCTTAATTTGACATATTTTGACAGAGTGTGTTCCAGGAACTGTTTGCTTGGATTCGATAACTCTCAGGCTCACTAATAATAAAGTTACGGACAAATATGACTGCCTTGAACAAATAAAACCTATAATGGATATGTAAACTGAAAATAATTACATAAACATAACATTTTTCAGTCAGGTCATCTGGACAGTTTCTTTTTTTGTGCTGAAATGTTTCGCCTTCGATCCGTTTTTTCGAATCAATTTTGTTGTGTGTTTCCTTGACTGATGAAGCCTTCCGGATCGAAGGCGAAACGTTTCAGCACAAAAAAAAAGAAACTGTCCAGATGACCTGACTGAAAAATGTTGGATTGTATACCTGGATTATTGAGCATGGACTTTGTTGTTAATTACATAAACACTCATTTTAAACACAACAGCATACAAGCTGCTTCTTGAAATAGCATTTCCACGTCTACCCTTAAAAAAAATCTCTGCCCTTAAATAAGTGGTGGGGGTGAGTGCTGAGCTAACCAGGCAGGCTCCTGGAGGTTTCACATGTGGAGTTGGACAACAACAAGCAGGGACAGTGTCGGGCTCGGAACCATTAAGTAAAGAGGGTGAGCCTGACAGAAGCGGAGTGTTTACAAATGTAGGTAAAAGTAGATGTTTAACAACCCGTTAAAATGCAGCAAAATGCAGGAAATCGCATTTAATTTATTCAAAATTTTCTGGGGGAGGACCCTCAGACCCCACTGCCCATCTACCCGCCCACTATTTGCATTCCGGCATCGAGCGGTTTACAAATTAAGCTCTGCCTAAAGTCATTTCACATTTTAGTCCTAAACCGAACCTAATACCCAAAAATGGTATTCCACAATATTAGGATTGGTCTTTAGTCCCCAAAAGGACTATTGATCCTCACAAGGTAAGTGTGTACAGTAATCCCTCGCTACTTTGCGGTTCAACTTTCGTGGACTTGCTCTTTCACGGTTTTTCAATGATTGTCAACTTTAATTTACTCAAGTGATTGGGATGGTAGAGAATAAAAAGTTAACAAATTAATATATAAACTTGGGACAAGCACCACCATTTTGTAGTTTTCTTTCAGTAAGCCTATACTGTAAGGCCAGTCAAAAGAACTACATGGCCCAGAAGTCAACAGTGCTTCCGGCTGCTGCTTTCTGATAAAATGAGGCTATGTATTAAGCTCAAAGAACTGGCAGGAAAGTCGCAAATAATCCAGAAGCTCAATTATCCATGTGCACATCAACCTGGATGGGCCGGTGGACTTCGTCACTTCATGGTAGGTCTGCCGAAGTGGAACCGAGCCAGACCGGAACCAAGCTGCTTTTCTGCAGATGGTGAGTAAAATTTTGCAGTACTGTACAGTACATATAAGTATGGTGTTAAAATTACAGTTTTAAGAGTTTAGAACATTGCAAGAGCGTGGGAAGGGTTTATAAAGCCTTTATAGATAAAGCCTAAAATAAATACAGTAGTCCCTCGCTACTTTGGGTTCGTTTTGCGCGGATTCACTCTATCGTGGTTTTTCAAAGTAAGATTGGACATGACACACAATTGGCTGATTGATGGATGAGCTGCACGATCAGCATGGAATTCTTATTTAAAATAAATTATTTAAAATTATTTATCACCTGTTGCACAGATGCACAGGTCTGTGTGCAGACCACAGCTGTGGAGAAGCTTCCTCTTGCAGCGTGTCATGACCTCTGCTCTGCAGCGGAGAAGTGGGCGTGGCCGAGAGTGCTAGCAGGTGGCAGAGAGCTGAGATCATGACATGCTGCGCTCTTTTAGAGCGTCTAGAGTTTAGAAACATTGTTCAGAATATTGCAAGAGTGTGGGAAGGGTTTAATACACCTTAATATACAGTATATATTCTACAGTATATATTCTACATTCGCCTTATGATCTAGCTATTTTTTTTTGCTATTTTTGCCATCTTCTTTGAATTTGTTTTAAAAAAAATTGTATGCCTCTTTTATGATTGTCCATTGTTGTCATCATTCTTTGTTGAAATCAGGTCTCTGTTGT